GATTATTGAAAATCTCTATTCCTGCTTGTCTCCAATTCCATTAGCATATTCACATGGACTGCTTGCAGTGGTTCTTACTGGTTCTGTGGTTGCATTCCAAAACAAATAGGAAGGGACTGTTGGATTGAAAGAGACAGGCATCAGTTTGTAATTTTGCTGGCACCGAATTACTATAACGTAATGAACTGATTTGAGCAGGAATTGTCATAGTGATGTGCTGTCCTTATTGTTCTTTCTCATTCTTCAGATTCATGCAGATTTTGAGCAACTGCAGAGGATTATTTGATTTATTTTGTCTTGTTTTACCACAATAATAATCCTTATATTTGATAATGTGCTTTATCAGGTCATTGAAATGTCTCAAAATGGGTTCACACAATTTTAATATGATAAAGACACATAATAAAGATGATTCTGATTGGATTGTTCTTTTTAGAACAATTCTTTTTGTGTCACTGGGTCAATGAGTAAGTTTATTTTTGAGAGGGACAACAATAATCAGAAACTAAGGAAATATATCTCTGTGCCTGTGTCATGATATCTCTCCTCTTTACTATCTATACAACCCCAGTCAGCAACATCATCTGCAGACATGGGGTTCAATTCCACGTGGACTCGGTTGACACCTAACTTGATTTCGCTACCTCCACCCTCGACTCCAAGACACTGCTGTTTTGACCGATTGTTTTGTCAAGCATCAAGTCCTAGATGAGCTCTAACTTTCTTCAGTTGAATGGTGACAAGACAGTGACTCTCCCACTTGGGTGCCTTCTCACTTAAGGCGCTGTTAGCATTAACCTGCAGGAATGCATATTCCACCTCAAGGAGGCGGTGTAGAATCTCAGTTTCTTATTTAGGACTCCCAATTGGATTTTCAAAGCCCACATTCTGTGCTCTTATCTGCTCAACTTCCCCTCACCCTCAAAACATTGGCTGCCTTAGCTGCCTCTTTCTCCCCTCATTCAAATCCCTATGATCTCGCTCAGAGTCAGAGTGAACAAAGGCACAGACATCTGAAGTAGGGCCTAACCAACATTTTGCATGTAAATTCTAGATTTTTTTTCTATCTGATGCACAAGTTGTGCTAATATTTAGATTAAATCATTTTGCTACATGAAAGGCTTTTTTTAAAAATAAATTTATGCCTTTGTATTTACTAGTGTCACTTTTGTAAAGGCTACCAGAGGTGTGCTTGTCTGGGTGCATGCACATGGCCCTTAAATAATGTTGTAACTCAACAATAAGAACATAAACGAGCATGAACAAGCAAAGACTATTTGGCCCATAATAGTTACGTAATACCTACTCTATTCTGGACCTCACCACAAACCTCATACACTATCTCCTGGGTGTGGGGAGAAGTTCTGAGCAGAGTCCTTGAATGACACAGTTAAAATAAAATAAACACTTATATTCTTGATCACATCTTTACAATTAAAACATCTTTCCCTACACTCCAAATACAAAGGGCACAAACTTTAATGTGTTGCTTTCTGTCAGCCATCATTTTATGAACTTTATTTTTTTGAATGTGGATAGTGTTGAGTTGGAATACCCCTTGTATTGTGTCACAGACATTGACATGAGTTTCCTCCTTGTTTCCTCCTTGTCCCAATTCTCTCTCATTCCCTCACCCCGACCCCATTACCTGTTCAATATGCATAAGATTGAGTGTTATATAAAGACAAGATAGTAAGGTAAAACCTTATACTCATAGTAAATATAGATCTTTAGAAAAACTGTAGGATAGTATTTATTGGTTATATTCTGCCATTTTGGTGATGGAAAGTAAATCTGTGGACTATCTTGCTTTCCATAACAATGTTCATACATTACAGTAATATATCTGAGTGAAACTAATCTTGGTTCCAATGATCCTATTACCTTTTGTACTTCTGAATTAAAACAGCGACTTCATCAAGGTGACACCCAGCCACAATTTTAGAGTTATTAAAAAGAACTGCAGAGTTCACATAATTGTCCTTGAACACTGGTATTGCTGGTGTTCAAATGTCTAACAATAACAGTTCTACTGTCAAATCCCCTGAGAAGATCAGTAACAAATAATAAATAGTCTCCCCAATAACTCTGTGCGGGGGCGAGAAGGCGAGATTGGAATAGTTTACAACATATAATTTTCTGAATGGTGTGTGTGTGTGTAGCTGTAATTGGAAAGGAGGCTCTTCTGCCTAGGAGCATGTTCCCTCCTCCAACCTGCAGGAGCCAGCATCTGGAACAGGTTAGCTCTCTGTCTCTAAATGAACCACTAATAAAAGATGTAGGGCATATATTGTCTTGTTAATTTCTACAACATTCTGTCACATAGGATATAATGAAGTGTCAACGGCTCTGAGCAGAGCATTATTTTCCCGTAAAAGGAAACGCTTCCTTCCTATTCGGAGGACTATCTAACCTTGCAAGCTGAAGTCAGGTCCTCTCTTGCAGAAGGGGATTTGTGGGCTGCTCTTGCGCATCTCCTTGTGGCCAGTTCAGAGCAACATTGACTGGAAGCAGTTTGTCTGCCTTATCAACTACAGTTGGTCTTTGGCACTATGAGGCCAGTGTAAAAAACAATTGTGAGTTTACCTAAGAAGAACTGGAGATAATGGAGTGTAAGTGTAAACTGTAATCCCATGTCAGTGTCGATTTTAATATGGGTAACTATAAACTTTATTGTATTTTTTCAAAACTATTGGTTGTTTTCAATAGCTCATCATGAATGTAAGCTACCACAGAATAAAAGGCAAGATTTGTAACCTATTGTGAGGCAGGTGTGCTTCTTGTAGAGTATTAAGATACTCTTATCAACTCACAATAAAGCAGCAGAGAAAGACATCTGGCAGCTATTTTACACAGATGTCATCCAAAGGTCTTGAAGGATAATGTGACGACACATTGTATATTGTAAAGATACTTAGGAAAATATGTTTATTGTGCCCACTTATCGAGGTGCTTGACCTTAGTCCCAACTATAATCCTAGGTGGAAAGATTTTGACTTGCATTCTCTTAGCTTCTGATTTAACTTCCCTAATGCACTTTGATTTAGTATCTATTGTAAAGACTCTCATTGCCAGCAATTTGTGAAATTCGGGTCATGGTAATTTTTGTGATGGGTTTTACTGGTCCTTTCAAATGATGTTGCTTTGTTCAAGGAGCCTGGCACATCAGTGGTTACTGGTCCTAAATCACACCTAGGATCAGTAACACTCAGCACATCTGCAAGGAAATCAGACTTCAAGGCTTTTCAACAGTAATGAGCTTTACCTGCACAGGAATGCCATTATGGTATTAAATGTAAAAGATGTAGTAAACCCTGTCTGTTGCTGAGGAAGACTCAAGCGATGGAGAAGAAACAACCTGGAAGAATTTCCACATAAACAGAAATAATGGAAATTAATGACAGTATATATTTATAATTTGGATCAAATAATTTTGTCGGATTCAAAATGTGGTTCCAAAAGAGTAAGAATCCATATAAAGTCTGGATCACTGCCCATTTAATAAAGATCTCATAGGTTATCAGCTTATAAAATTGATCCCCTAGCACTGAGCTGTTTTCTAACCTCTAACTGAATGTACCCCGAACCCATTTAGACAGTCAGATTTGTTAAGATGTTTTTATATGACACTGTTCCCTTTTTGCTCTTTGTCCGTTTGTGCCTTTTTCCTCCTCCCCTCCTCTCACCCATTCATAGCAACTTATTCACCTGTTTTTGGTCACCATTAAATGACTTGTGTAATACTCGATAAATCACGGCAAAACCAAGTAGCACAAACTTTTTTTTGCAACATTCCAATTAACAAATTATTGCCTTGTAGATATTTTGAGAAGGGGATAAAAATGTTCCTAACTACTGTACTTATTTTACAAGGATCTTGTGGCAAAAGATTAGTAGTTGGGAACAACCTTTATCACTTTTAAAGCCTCACTTTTAAAGCCCTCTATGATCTTGCCAAACCCTACGTCTGTGAGTTGCTAAAACCTTACCAACACGCCTATTCCCTCCTTTTAGCTTGCTTCACGCCCCCAATAATAATCCTTGCATTTGATATAGTGCGTTTCACGTCGGGAGGACGTCCCAAAGCGCTTCACAGAACACACTGTAAAGTGAATTGACTGTATATTTGTGGGCGAACGCGGCAGCCAATTGCGCACAGCAATGTCCCACAAACCGTCGTAGATTGAAAATGACCAATTTATTATTGTTTTTGGTTTTGGAGGGATTATTATTAGGCGTGTGGAGTAAGGAAACTTGCCCAAGGTTTCACCCTGCCTGGAATTGAACTCAGGTCTCTCACTTGCAAAGCAAATGCTCTAACCACTGAGCTACAGGACTCCTGTTTAACCCACCATCGGCAGTAGTACCTTCAGCCTTTCTACCCCCACCCTCTGGAATTTCATCCTGGAGTCCCTTCAACTCACCCCTTTCCTTGCCTCCTTCAAGATCCATCTCAAGACCTTCCTCTTTTACTGTGTCCTTGGTCATCTTCCCACTACCAAACCGCTTTCTCCCAACCCCTCTTGAATCCAACCACCAACTTGGGTGCAAACTGAATAGAGTCTTGGGACATCCTCCTGACATGAAAGGTGCAACATAAATGCAATTTGTTGTTTTTATTTTATTTTCCTGGGTGTAGATTTAGAAACCCGTGATAAGTTTATTTTCTTAATTTTTTTCTGCAAATGAGTGGAGGGAGACTGACAAGCTCAGAGTTGGCAGTGAGATGCTTTAAGTATTGTTTTTGATGTGTAAACTGCATCACTACTCAATTTATCCTACAAGTAGTTTTATCTTTTACGAAGAAAACAAATTTGTAAGAAAATGTAGAACCAGAGATTGTCAATTTATATAAAGACTGAAGTGAGTTTTCAACTGTAGATCCTTACTAGTATTTGTCATTAAACATTAATATTCATTTTTATTTAATTTAAATAAAAAAAATTGTATTTGTAGAAAAATCCTTCAGTGACTAGTAATGAGCGACAACCTGTACTGGAGAATTGAGAGAAAGTAAGTATATGTGAAAGACAAACCAGCAGTTTCAGTTCTTCAGCTCAGTTGCTGTCCTCAATGTCTTCATATAGCACAGATAAAATAGATTATTATTATGTAATAGTCACTGTCTTGTTATAGTCTTTTGTAGCTTTGGGAAAGAAATTTGTGCTCCATGGATTAATTTAGTAACATAGTTCTTGGCCCACATCAGCTGCTACCCTACTTGTGTGCTATAATGTTGGTCCAAATGGACTGTCCTTAAAGTTTATAGTTTGCCAAACATGGGGTACAATATTTTCAATTGGAGATCAAATGCAGTACATTAAGAATTTACTGGTTCTCATGAACTCTATTCTCATGATTACATTATGGAAACTTGTAATTTGTTCATGAGGTACAAGTTCCCATAATGTGTAATATAATATGGATTCTGGTTGCTCACAGCTCCAATAAAATGCACAGTTTGGGTACTTGTTTCAGAATCTATCGTATCAAATTTTGAAAAATAACAATTACATAATTTCTGGACTTTGCCACATCAGCTTTTGGAAGGATTCAACCTGTTAATTTCTACCACATTTCCACAGAAGATGGATGTGGCAAGTGCCACATGATTGTGCTGACACATTTTAGTAGATCTTAAAGAAAAAGAATATAAATTCTAAAAAATAAACTGCAGGAAACTTGCTCATTTTCTTAGCTCAGTGTTGATCTCATGAGGATTCTTCCAAGGCATTGACGACCAGTTCGAGGATGTCAGGGCAGTGGTCCGCTATCTGCTGCAAGATGGCATTGGCGTAGTCCTGCAGCTCTGAACTTTCTTTTTCACACTGTTGCAGCTCAACACTCAGCTTTAAAATAAAACACAAAATGCACCTTAATAAATGCACCTTACTCTATCAAAGGCAAGAATTAGAGCCATGAATCCATAGTGGACTTCCACCCATTTTCTTACTGACACATGTACATAACTTGTTCCTATAGGCTACCGCCATGCTAAACTTTGGAAGGCTCCCACTCCTTCCCCCATCAATGTAATTCTTGTCCTTTTCTATCATCATGCGATCAGATCAATTGCAGGCAGAATATCACCAATATTCTGGTTTGGCGGCTCAGTGATGAGTTTGTCTCATCATACAGCATTAAGTGAATGTCATAAAAAGTTGTGTTATTTAAGGGAGAGGAAAACTGGCAATTAGAACCATAAAACTTGATTACACAGATAGAAGAAGACCAAATTGTGCCTGTGCTGGCTCTTTGAAAGAGCAATCCATTTATTCAATTTACTTGTCTACTCCCAATTCCCCCCACAAATTATTCTTTTTTATAGTTCTATCTAGTTCCTTCTTGAAAGCTTATATATAAATTCTGTTGAGATCATCGCAAATCCAGACAACTCTTTGTGTAAAGAAAAATCCTAAGCCCCCTTTGATACCTTGGAAACTATCTCAAATTGATGGCCTTTGGACGTTGACTCACTTACTAGCAGAAATAATTTCTCCCTGCCAAAACTCTTTATAAATTTAAAGACCTTTATGAGGTCTCTATTCCAATTGAAGTAGGCCCAATTCCTCCAGCCTTTACTCGAAGAACAAATCATTAATCTCAAGTATTTTTCTTGTAGATTTCCTTTACATCCTTTCTATGGCCCCAAATTCCTCCCAAAACTGGATACAACACTGTAACTACAGTCTGGCAGTCTAACAATTTGCACCAGTTAACCATCAACCTTGCTCCTGCGTATACCACTTAAGTAAATTGATAACCATTTAGAACAGCCAAAATGTTATGAATAGTACTGTACTAAACAACAAAAAACAAAATTACATTTTATAGAGTGCCTTTCACGTCGGGAGGACGTCCCAAAGAGCTGAACGGTCAGTTGTTTGGGCCCGAGCATGGGGAGGTGATGTGTAGGGGTGAGGGAAGACATAGAGGTGGGAGGGAGACCAAAGGCACGGTCGAAGAGAAGGGTCTTGAGACCGACCTTGAAGGAGGCAAGGGAGGAAGTGAGGCGAAGGGACCATGGGATGCAGTTCCAGAGTGTGGGGGCAGAGAGGCTGAAAGCCCAGCCACCGATGGTAGGGCGGGTCGGGCGGGAAACATGGAGCAGGCCGCAGCCCGATAAACGGAGGGAGCGGGCAGGTTGGTAGGGAATGGATAATGGATATTTGGAGGGCAATGACATAGATGTGCTCTGAATCTATTACACCCATCAAAAATACTTTTGCAGAAGAGTTAAGAGCATAATTTTCAAGAATAAAAGTTCTGATGCCCAGTTCATCACCACATTGGCTATTCTAATTTAGATGCTTGTTTAAAATCCAGAAAACATTGAATATGAAATCTTTAATAAGGCTGTTCCTTGAAACGACATAAAATTATTTTTAAACGAGACTTTAATATGACGTTTGTTATCAAATATATAAATCAACAATACTCTCAGCCTATGATGTGTTATCAGAACATTTGCTCACATGTTTTCTTTGTACAAGTTCCGTTAAAAATAATAATTTGTTTTAATTACAAGCTTTCTCGGAGCCCACAGTGCACTCACACTGCACAGTACATTCTTTCTCTAAACTTTCCAATACAACATTGTCTCTGATATTACATACATTTTTATGGTTCCCTCACCAATAGAGAAATAATTTAAAACACCCTGCTCATAAATGTATGTTCACAGCTTCTGTTACCCTAGAGTCAACAATGCTTTTCTGCTTTAAAATGAAAATCAATTTTCTGTTTAAAATTTGAGGAGTAACACTTGTGGCTTCCAGTTTTTATAACCGTACTTGGGGATATGTACACTTTGTTTGTTCAAAAAAANGAACAATCAACATATTTCCTGAGATCAGTTTAGAGACTTTTCAGCTGACTTGATCTCATCTTCCCAGAATACCCACCTTACCACCTTCTCATTGCAGCTGTTTCTAAATGAGTCCAGGAGAAACACATTGTTTACTCTCTAAATAAAGAAATATTTCCTGAAACTAAAATTGTCTTTTGCAACCTTAAACTGTGCCCTCTTGTTCTGGTGTCTCAGCACATCCAAACGTATTGTATTGGGTTTAACCTTCTCCAACCTTTCAAAGGCTTATATACTTCTATAAGGTTCCCTCCAAAACGTCTAATTTCTAGACTGAATAGCCCTAACTTGTCCAATCAAATTCTCTTAGACCCCCTCTACACTGGTTGCAGAGCTTTATGTAGAGGCGACCAGAAGTGTATGCAGTACTCCACGTGTCGCCATTGTACAGCTAGAATATGAGTTCTGTGGATCTGACCCAAGCTGATGTGGCAATATAACCCAGCACCATAACTGCTTTTGTTTACTGCTGCCTCACACTGTTTTGACATGATGAGTGATGAGCCAACTAACATTCCTACGTCTCTTGCAGTTTTGCCTTTGGCAAGCTCTTTCCTATTCATGAAGTACATGCGTTTTCTATTACTTCCTGTATGCAGTACCTTGCATTTATCTGTATTAAACTTCAATTGCTAGTCATCAGCCCCACATGCATAACCTTTCAAGCTCTCTTTTTAGGACATTCGCCTTATTTGTGGGCTAAAGTTAATATTCATATGAATAATTTGTAACAATATTCTTTTTACTAATGTACTTCTGTGCGAACCAACAATGAAATGCACAGTAATTAAGGTTTTAAGCAAAAGGGGGTTTGGAATGTTGATCAACCTGTAGCATTTGTAATACTGCATGTTTAATTTACTAATGATGGAGGAGCCATTTGATTTAACACAAGATTTAACTGCATGCTGGTCTGCTAAAACTCAAATGAGATGGACTATGTATTTTAATGCAATGTGTGGATCAAGATTTCTAATAGAATGAGAGTGATTTTGTACATCCTAAGATTAGCCCTATATTAATCTGCAGTAAACTGTGGTGAAGTCAAGATAAGTGATGGAATTCCACGAACAACATAATAAACTGCATGAAGCATAAAAATTTACTACAGTGGTGAATTAGCACAATTGTGTAAAGGCTGGGCAACATTAGGAAAGCTTTTAAAATATTCTTGATTTTGGTCAACTGGGTATCTGATACAAGGAAACGCATCACCATGTTTAAGAATATCCAAACCAGCCAGAATTCCACATATGCAAAGAAATCTCCTTCATCTGGAATGGTGTACGGATACATCCTGTTTACCTAATTCCAAATTTATTAGGCTTAGGTTGGTAAGAGCCAAAACTTGTAGTGCACATTCAACTCAGAACTATGGACAATTGACAACAGGCTCAAAGCATAGAAACAGGCAACAAAATTGAGTTAGAGGTGCAAATAACCCAAGATTAAAATTATTCTAAAAAATAAAACTGGAAATCTTGTAATGCTGATTTAAGATTCTCTGTGGAATATAAACATCTGAAACACTCCCTTGTTTCTACATCTACCTGTTTTTAATTTCAGATTGCAAAAATGCAAAACAAAGTGAACCCATCTGATTCAGGATGCCAAGCGACAAACCTTCTATAATATTTTACTTAAAATTAATATGTCCCTTTTCTGACTTTTTAAAAAAATGAAACTTTTTCTTATAAATCTAGAACATTTACAAGGACCAAGTGCCCTGTAAAAAGGTTAGTGGCTGGTTGCTTCCTGTTAAACTTAACCTTGTGCAACCAAATAGCTTCTCCTTCTGTGCACTTTTATTAATGTTTCCCATGTGTTTCATGCCATGCAGCTGACAATGTCAATTACCTATTACTCTGGAGGTTTTACGTCTTGTTTAATCCTCCACATTCATACAGATAGGATAAGTACACACATTTATCTCAGTCAGACCATCATGGCAAACCCGTTAGGTTCTTATTTATATTCTCCATCCGTTCCTCCCTTTCCCCGTTTCTCTCAGCCGGCCTCTGTACATTCAACTTTGAAAGTAGAAGTACAGAAACCACCTGTGCTACTTAGTGACATATCACACATGTGGGAGCAAAGTTAGTGATCAGTCCATGGGGGAAGTTGGGATTTAAGACAAGGCCAGATTAATCACTCAAATTAAATCTGCTTCTCCTCCTGCCTCTGCACAGTCACATGTAGCATTCCCTGAGGCTCTAGCTTCCACAAGTGACCATTATTCTGATGTCAACAGTGGTAGTGAATGTTGACAGGTTATTTGACTGCAAAAGGTATCGCAGCCAAGCTTGATCCTGTCTTTGCCAGGCATCTATCGACAGGACAGCCTCTGAGTACTAATTAACAAATGAATGGATTGATATCTACAAGTCTTTACTTTATTGAAATGTGTTAACCGTTGTCTTCCTTCCCTCAGGCAGTCATTGCATCAGGTCATTTGCCAGGTTAGTTGCTCGATGGCATTCATCGTAACTCATCCAACCATGTTGCTGCCAGATCTCTGCCTTGGCTGCTTTCATTGTGCAACAAAGATAAGTTCCCTTGCTGTGAAAAGCATTGCGCTTCATTTTAAGGCTTAACTGGTGCCAACCTGTCAGACCCATATTGGGACTTGATCAGATTAGTAGATAACTGATTACATATGAATTCCAATGGATTATTTTATTACAGTATATTAATTCAGCAACATAATAATCCTTGCATTTGATATAATGTAATTCACATTGGGAGGAAGTATTAAAGCGCTTCACAGGAGTTACTGCAAAGTGTAGTGACTGTATAATTTGTAGGTGAATGTGACAGCCAATTGTGTTCAGCAAAGTTCCACAAACAGCCATGAAGTGAACCAATTTTATTTGGGGTTTGTTGGCCAGGACAGCCAGGTTACTGGAAGAAACTTTGTTCTCTTTCAGAGTGCCATGGGATCTATAATTTCTACTCAAAAAGGCAGATGGGACCTTGGTTTAG